ATTCAAGCCGTCTCCAGCCATTATTAGTCTCAAAGTGGGTTCCTCGTCATCGAATTCAAGTTATCTGTGGTTCTATGGTTTTATTGGTTACAGGAGTCTCTAATAACAATATTTCACCCAGTACTGGACCAGTTCTTACACCGGTAACAGGCAAGACATAGAATTATAGAATGTGATTCAATGAAAGTAATAAACAAATAGGTAATTTGGAAATGAAGAAATTGAATCATTAACTTCAAAAAATGGGACCGATTATTAATTTACGACCATTATTAATGAAAATGACCACTCTAAATTAGGCTTGTATTTGGATTTCTTTGTATAATATATTTTCTTTAGGTACTGAGAAATGTTCAAAAAAAATCAAGTAAAATGGTTTTGTAATATGTATAAGTGTATAACACCTGGTGTATTATTCTTAGTTTTCTATTGTATTACCATTTTAACGAATTAACTCTTCCTAGTACATCAGTTGTAAGTGTTTGAGCATCAATTTTGGAAAAATAATTTACTTATTTTAACCTAACCTCCTACAGCCGGAAGGATATAACAGCTTCAATTGAATCCAGCCTTTCGTAAGTTCACATTTTATTTATTTTTTTTTCAACATCTACTTTTAAAAGATTTTGATTTCAGTTCCAAAAAAATTCAAAAAACAACGCTTTTGAACGAATCAATTTTGTTTATTTAAGTACAAAAAAAATAGGGTAGCCATAATCCTTTACCCAGGTCAATGGAACAAATGATGTATTGTTGTTATATTGATTGCTTTTATTGAATCATTGATTATTTATTGGCCAGACTCTAGTTATCAATTAACAAAAAAAAAGTATAATGACTTTATTAAAGTTTATTCAAAGCCAGGGTAACATAATAATAGGTAGTAAAGATTTAGTTACTGAATCTCAAAGTCAAAGGCGCTAAAGTATGACTGTCTCGCCGGCCGCCAGTTGGACAAACTAGACTTGCAAATATTTTGTTAAAGATTCGGAACAACAAATTTCTACAGCATAAAGAAGTTTTCCCCTGAAATTACTTTAAGTAATTGGATAAGTAAATAATTATGTTAGCCCTTTGTCACTTGGCATACTATAAAAAGTACTTTTCTACATGAACAAAGAGATGTTTTACTTTATGTTATTACAGACAATTATATTCAGTATTACAGTCATTTTCTTCTATTCAGCCAGAAAAAAAAGCACTAAAATAATACTACAAAATCAGTCAAAACATTCCACTGGATTCTCAGATTCTCTGGTTGTTTGACCAGAACCACATAATTATTTACTTGTTACAGCTATTTTTAATCATTTATTATTTTAGATGTTTTCGGTTGTAGTTGTATTTGTTTGTTACATTACTTAGTAGCATGACGATTTTTAGATAGCATTATTTTCTTAGAAAGCAGTTTAGCGTCGGTAAAGCATATATGCTTTGGGTTGTTTCCTACTGAACGACTTTTAGTTTAGCAAAGTATGTATGTCAAAAAAGCGTAGATTTTTCTTTTATGAAATAATAAGACTTCCCAAAGTTAATGCAGGTTCTAAAGCTGAAGTTGGCTGATCTTATGAGACTTTTAGTCTGCACAATGTAATAATAGGTGGCGATATGAAATATTAACTCTTTTACTACTATTCTAAATTACGTTTAAAGACTACGACACTTTCAGCGAGGCGGATGCATGGAGTAATAACACATTTAACCTTCCAGTAAAGATTTGAAGTTTCGGAGTTCACCTATTTCTGTGAGCTCTCTCTAATCTTATTATGACATATATTTCGGCTAATTCTTGAGCTTTAACGTTTTTATACTTCCGGCTGCACGATCCATGTGTTTTGTAAAGTTGAAGTCAGAATAGTTGTTATATACTCCACAGTATAATTAGTAAATTATTTTTCTTTTTATTACATGAAATTTGTTGATTTAATTAGTTTCTATATTTTTACTATTTATTGTACTATATTGTTATTCATTCAATATGTTATTAATATTTTGACGTTTAATGGGCTTCCATTGGCCACTTGGCGTCGTTAGGGAAGGTTATTATTAGGTTTTACTTCTACAGGTTACACTTTTCAAAATACAGGAACTTGGTGATAGTGCATGAAAGAATCATTCAGTTTTTACTTTTTATGTGTTTTGTAGGTAAGGTATATCATATTCTTTATCTAATCTTAATTTCTGTTAGAATGTTATGTATAATATATATTTTTATTATTATGTATTTCATTTATGAGAATTATTTTGCATTGTTGCTTAGTATATGGATTTAGGTCTAGCCTAACCAGCCTAAGCCGACTGAACCCTTTGAGATATTGTTGAGATTACAGCCGAAAATATCGCTAACAAAGCATTCTAATAAGTGTAGGTAAGAATAGAATACTAAATTAACTACATTAATTGCTGGGTTAATGTTTTGTTCTGATCTATGCAGTTAGCTTACTATGATCAGTCGGCCAGCAGAAAAGCTTTGATGTAGGAGAAAAAGGCTTTGCCTGTGCTGTAGAGGTTTTAAAAATATATTTATTTTAAATGTTATTTACGTGACTATTTTTTATAGAAGCTAGCAGTTTTCTTGTGACGTTTCAAAGAGTAACTATTTAATTAATAAACTTATGAGCAATTTTATTTTTCTCAGTCCTACATTTACGCATTTCTGCAGATCCATAGACGTGATGATGGTGACTGGAGCCAAAGCAATCCACATGCAGGCGGTGGAGAATATGGTCATGAGAATGAACAAGCAAAAGACCACGTTATTAAAAGTCGACAGTGTGGGTGACGTCCTTCAGGAAGCGGTGAGGAAATGTGCAGTATCAATGCATTATACATGTATATGAAAATATATGTTTAGTTCCTATTTTAGCTTTTTATTGTTACATGTATGTTTAAAGATTACCGTATTTTTCGGAATATAAGACGGACCCATATTTTGAAGACAAAGTTTTGGGGGGAAAAAAGCTACAGCCA